ATTTTCCATCACAGCTTTTTCTTAAAATCTGACAGGAAGTCTAAATAAAACAGCGCCTTGCTTCAAGAAAGGTGCACAAATAATGGGATTTCTTGAACTAATTTAATCCACCAGCATTGAATACTTAACTGTATCTCTGTGTTGGGCAGAACATTTTTGGCAGGGAGATAACTGACTTGTTTCTATGACAACTGAGATCATGTCATGGATACTTGGGCAAAAAACCCAAGCACTCAGAGCTTCCACTGCGAGAAATCCATTTAAAATGTGAGCACAAATTTTTTACCTCGTGCTTGCAGGAGTTAAGTTGTTTAAAGAAAGCTAAGGCAACTTACTTCTCCATGTATTTTTCTTTAGGGTGATAAAGTATTTGTTCACAAATGTTGGTTAGACCTACTGATTTCACAAATAGAAGAAGGAAGTAGGTATCTGGCTTTTTTCTCCATCTGGTTAACCAGTCAGGAGAAACAGCCCTTGCAGAGATCTGTGGGTTTTACTCTTTCTTCTCATCATGACTTGTGTAGAAATGAATGAGTTAGAATAAAATGTACGTTGCCATCTTGATTTTATTCCTGCATTACTTATCCCCTTGATTCTTTAAGAAGCCTTGAACATTGAGATGATAAATTGAAGAAGGAGCGCGGGGCTTGCCTACGGTGCTAGACAGACAGATTTGCACAAGAGCCCTTCAATTTAATAACTCCATGTTGGTAACAAAAGCCAGTAAAAGCTACTGCATCTGATTGTGTTTTAATAGACTTAATGCTTACCCTGTAGAGGAAATGGAGAAAGAAAGCCAGATTCCAAGGTAACTCGAGGGAAAGTTTGCTTTGCTCTAAGGGGTTTTAATTGTTGCCCAGCTCTGCATCATGCACACAGATTTCTAACATCCTGGTACACATTTGCACTGAGTGCTCTGCCCTCCTTCTGCCTGGGAGGAGAGAGGCAGAGGGGTATCAACAACTGAACTAAGAGGAAAAATTGGTGAGGGAGAGGTGTGGTAAGAGACTATGGAATAAATATAGCTGGAGACAGATGTGTCCCAGTGCAGGAGCACCAGTGGAAAGTGGCGGGGTTGCTGAAACATGGTGGGGCTGCATTTTCATTTGTCTGGGCAGCTTCTGGTTCAATGAGACCCTGGTGCAAGATTGAAGCTTTTAGGTACTGGTGTCGTGCTGTGTTAGTTGCTACCTCAAAGTCATAGTTGGTTCAAGTGTGATTAGATGCATGTGAGCATCAGCCTGTGGCTAAATAGCTTCTATTTTAGGAAGAACCTAAACAACAGCCAAAAAAAGGCAGAGAAAAAGTCCGTGAAAGGGTAAAGGAGAGAGTATGGTCCAGTGGCTGGGAAAGGAGACAAGTCATGATTTCTGGTTAACTTGCTGCAAGTCTGAGTGTCTCCAAGCTTTTGTTTCAAGAGCAGAAATAGGAGAAAACAGCACAGAAGAGGCATCAGAAATGTGGTGTTTCTTAGGGGAGCAGCAGAATTGATGACAGAATACCAACTACTAGAGCCGGCTTCCCTGGAGCGCTGTTTGTACTGGCATTGCGGGACACTGTTTGCAGTCCCTGGCTAAACAGCCCAAACCTGCCCCTTGCAGTCCCAAGCTCTTTGCAGAAGCACCAACTCCATACTGAGTTTAAATTTTCACCAGCGATAGCCCTCAGTGAGCATCATTCACTGTCTGTGCCGGTTTGCAAGCTTTGCTCACTGCTGCAAGCTGCTTTGCGGAAAGTGTTGCTATCTGATGATTATCTTTTGGGTCAGTGAGAGTGGTGGAAATGTGCGGGAGGGTGTTACCAAGGCAATGCCACAGCTGGATTAAGTAACCCAGACCACAGTGCATCATGCTCGGGCTTAAACAAGTTATTTAGCACCCCGCTCAGCTGCTTAAACTGGTGATTTGTAGGCTGATGGTTATAATTTGCATAAAAGGTATAAAAATAGTGTCAATTACTGAGTCCTCTCTATAGCCTATATCTGGCACAATGTCCTATATAATCTCACGCTCTGTTTCAGAGAGAGATCTAAGTCGGGAGAAGAGATGATTCCTGATGCTGCTCAGACGTTTTCAAAGTGAAGATGTTAAAATGTATGTTAGCCCTCACTTTGGCCATTTCTTCCATCAGGGAAAATGTTTTCTTCCACCTCTCATCAGGCTTACATTGAGCAAGCAAGGTGTGGCAGGAATGAGTCCTACATTTAATGTTGAACCCTAACAACGTCCCTTTATCTGGACAAACCTCTTGATCGCCGCCTTTGTACTCTCTGGAAATAACGTGGCAATGTTTGTTGGAGCTATGGGTATTGTGTGTCTGTTGCACAACCTCTCCTGTTCCCACTGCTGAGGATGAAGTGGGGAACAGCAGGATGCATGTGCCGTTGGACTGATCCTGTGAGGCTTTGCTCCTGCTGTTGGAGACCAAAGCACTTGGCACATGAGGTTTGGTTTGGCATTGCACTGAAATCGGTGGATCAGGTAACTGGTGATGTAGTTTACTTAAATTTATCTGCATAGTCCATGTTGGTGCAAGAAATCACCGGCTGGGCTCTGGCAGTGATCAGGGCTGCCCACTGCAGCAGCTGCTAGATTAGCTTGGTTGCAACACCCAGCTCCTCTGTCTCTTGGGCTATGCAGTTGCTTTCATCCTTCATGTTCTTGGCCAGGAGTGGAAGGGAGAAAAGCATCAGGGCTCTTTCCCTTTCTTTTGGTCTCTGAGCACTTTACGAAACTTCAGATCCACTGGGCTAAAGGCAAGGAGCAATTTGTCTGCTTTGCACTTAGCCTTGCAATGTTAATGCTTTGGGGAATAAAATGCAGGGATGCTGGCTTGGATTCTGCTTCCTCATCTCAGTGCCTAATACTTTTATTGCGTGGCTGGTGAGCCTGGGACTTGCGTGAGATGATGGATACTTGGACTGCATCAGAAATCTGCTTGAGGTTTTTGATTTTAGCCTATACAGATGACAGTGGTTGCCCTAAGTGCCTAATCACTTCCTTACCCATGTGATTTGAATCAGTCACATTAATTTTCCTTTTTAAAAAATATGTAACGAGAAGAAAAGCCCACATTCCCTCAATGTAATCTAGAAAACCAGGAGAAACTGAGTTTGGTCAGGCTGGAGCTGAAGCTTTTCTCTGTTATTTAGATTGCTCACAGGAGAATTCTTCAGAGAACCCTTTTATTGGAGAAAGCATAGAGAAGGTATTGTGATGGGAAACATCAACTGCAGCTAAATACAGCGCACTGATTTCCCAAAACCTGCTCAAGAACAGGGCCCCTGACCTGTGCTGTGCTATAGGATGCCAAAGTCATGGTCTTCAGGGAATTTTATCATTTCCAGTCTTTTTGCCCGCTGCCATTTGCAGCTGCCTGATGGATTTGATCTGTTGTGTGTTCCCAGCTAAATGGCCATGAATCTCTCTGAAGTCTGAGGGACAAGTGGATTTTACAGGTCGGGTAAAAAACAGCTGAAAAAAAAGCCAAGTTGCATTTCTTTGCTAGCTCTCCAGACCCACATGAGCGCTGGCAAAAGTGTTGAGTTTTGCTTTCCTCTTCCTTCTCAGTCGTTGGGAACAGAAGAAGCGAGCGTGGAGCCAGGGAAGGGAGAGGCGATGCAGGGTGCGACTGGTGTGATGGCCGGTGCTTCGCTCGTCCCTGGGAGTCATCTCAGACAACACCTTTGTGTTTTTAGCTGCCTTCACCTGACGGTGTCTAGCTGTCCTTGCCTGTTTTAAGAACCTGGCCTGCAGCCACTGATATGTTGCAGCCTGGGGAGTAATTATCTCTTCCTGCTTTAAATAAGGGAGCTACTCAAGTCCTGCTGCTCTAGTGAACTACAAATACCCCAGGATTTGGTTACACCAAACCAGTCCTGATAGATGCTTATTTTGGTGGGGGTCCCCCCTCTCTGAGTGTAGGGCAGCGCTGCCTGGGAGCCCAAAGGGATGAAGTCACTTTGTTTGCAGAGCTCCCAGAGTCTGTCAGCTTGGCTCCCTCCTTGCTTTTCCTGCAAACATGCTTTCTTTTCTGGGAGTTTTAAAATAGCCCATGGTCTGAGGCCAAATGCATGGGCTCTGCCTTGCCTGAGGCACAAGCACTCCCCGGGGAACAGCCTTTTCCTTCCTTACTTTAAGGACTGAAGAGCAGGATGAAGTTCTGCTGCTGAAATGAGGGGCAAAATGTGGAAGTTTGGATTTGTCCTCTATTCTGGAGCTGGACTGGAGGAAGAACTGCCACTGGGGAGAGGGCATGGGACTGCCTGGGAGCCATTTGTAGTCTTTTTTCCACCACTGGCCTGTTACAGAGCCTTGAGTAACCTCCTGACTCGCCTGTATTTATCTGCCCCCTAAATACAGGACTTTGCTCTGAGCTAAGTGCTGGAGCAGTAGAAGGGGTGGGGAAAGCACGTGTGTTTCTTTCCAGTACATCAGGTTTCTTCTGTGGCCAGAGAGGATGGTTGCGCCTGGGTGATAAGCTGTGCTCTTCCTCTTCAGCTCTTTGAGGACGTGCCCAGTGCCCGCATATAAAGTCAGCACTTGAAAAGTCTGTCTGGAAGCCTTGAACCTGTCTACTTGGAGGCCTTTCTTTCTGTCTAATTTGGGCAGTGTTGCATACTTGGAAATCTGCCTGGGGATTGGGACACCTTGTAAAAATTCCTGCTAACAAGCCTCTGTCCCTTAAGCATTTGCTGCACTTGGAGGTACTTATTAATCAGCTGCGAGACATCTTTAACTGTCCAGAGGGAACAGATCCTTTTATGTGGCTGCCGTTGAGACTGATGGAGAGTAAAGCCCATCATGTATGTCACCTAAAACACTTAATGTTGTTTCTCATGGGTAAAACCCCATGTAATACCCAGAATATTTTCTTCTCCTCTTCCTCTCATGCAGAACCAGAGTGGTGGTAAGTGTTATATCCAGTGGGCTGGTCTGAGTTTCTACAAAGAGTGCCAGTACTGTGTCTAGTAAAGCTCTTTGTCTCTCTTTAACTTGCAGGAGTCAGAGTCTGAGAACAAGCTGGATGGAGAGACAGCATCAGACAGCGAAAGCAAATCTGAATTTGGAGGATCGGCCCCAGTGCCGACATCGGACGACACTCCAGAGGTCCTGAACAGAGCTCTCTCCAACCTGTCCTCAAGGTAGCCCTCAGTGAGCATCCTTCCCCTCTGCTGCCAGGGCTGCTCTTCCCTGTGGCTTTCCAGGCCCCAGCAGCACGGCGCTGGCTGCTGGAAGCTGAATAAGCAGCTCTCGGAAGCGCTTTGCTCTCCCTCCCTGGTGTGCGAGCAGGAAGGTGCCTCTGAGGCCACAGGAAATGGAAGATGACGGTGCTGCTGGCGGGGAGAGCTGAGCACAGCGCTCAGGGCTGCTGTGCGTGGGAGAGGATGGGGGGCAGAGGGGTGCTGCTGCCTTGCTTGGTCTTGGCAGGTGAACAGAGGCCTGAGTGGTGCAGAAGACAGTGGTGTTTAGCTGTGACAGCATGCTCAGCAAAGACTTCAGCCGCAGTGGTTTTTAACCACTAGTGTGACCTACTTTGAGAAAAGCATGCTGATAAGGAGAGGATTTAAGAACAAACTGGAAATGTTCTCTACAGACTGCTTTTGGGGGAAAGCATCTTATCTATATCATGGGAGAAAGTGTCTCTCCTGGGTTTGCTGTGAGGATGGGAGAGGCTCCAGGCAGGACCTGTTGGAGAACAACAAGGATACAACACGCCAGGGCCCATGTCTCCTCTTGAAAAGGAATGCAGAGAGGAGAAAAGGAGAAATGGTCTCCATTTTATGTGAACTTACCATGCAGCTTGTCCAAGGTGTGGGAAACCTGTAGCAGAACAGGAGCAGACGCTTTCCTGTCCTGTTTCAGTGCCCTTGGAGATGCTCTGCACATGGCTAATGCTTTCTGCATTTAGTGAGGTTCATAGCAGAGCTGAACCGTAGCCTTACAGCTGCTGCAACCAGACCTTCATCACTGGATCAAGGTCTCTCTGCAGCACTGAAAGGAAACTTGGGGTTTCCAGGGCTCAGTTTCCTTCTTGTGATGTGCAGACAGCAGAAATGCTGTCCTGCTTCCTGGCTTTGTTTTGACTTTCTCTAACTTCTTTCCTTCTCTATGACCTAGATGGAAGAATTGGTGGGTAAGAGGCATCCTCACACTGGCAATGATCACCTTCTTCTTCATCATCATCTACTTGGGACCCATGGTCTTAATGACAATAGTAAGTGCTCCAGAGAAGTGCCCTGATGTTCACGGCAATAAGGGAGGAAGGTTGCTGGGCCCATAGCTGGGGTGGGCAGCTCAGAGCTTTACTTTCAGCTTGTTGGATTTCTCTCTCCATGGAGGAAACCTGGAAGGAGTCTGTGACTGCATCTGCAACTGAAACTAATACAAGGGGTTGTTAGAAACCTCCTGCAGAGGAAAGAGGGAGGGAAGACGAACATGGTTGATGTTCCCATGTGTCATGGTTTAGGCCCAGAAGGCAACTGAGCACCACGCAGCCCTTCCCTCACCCCTTCCTCTATCAGGGATGGGAGACAGACTCGTTAGGGGAAGAAAACATCACTTTAATTCAAATACTAACAAAGACAACACTCAACAGACAAAGCGGGACAGTGAGAAGTGCCACTACATCCAAAAAAACCCTCCCCCCACGCCTCCCTTCTTCCCTGGCTCAGCTCTGCTCCCAATCTCTTTACCTCCTATCCAGCAGCGCAGGGGCAGGGGGTAGGGGTTACAGTCAGCTCACCGCTCCTTCCTTCTCGGGAGATGGGGTGTACACTACACATTCTTCCCCTGTTCCACGGGGCTCCCCTCTCACTGGAGACATTCATCCATGAACTTTCTCTGATATGAGTCCTTCCCACAGGCTGCAGCCATTCCCATGCTGCCCCAGTGTGGGTCACCCCCGTATGTTGCAATCCTCCCAGCGCTGAACCACAACAGTGGGAGCTGCTTCTCCCCTCAGAGTCCTGGCCTCCTTTAAGTGCAGACGCATGTCCTGGAGCGGCTTTCTCCTCAGGCTTCAGATTGGCCTCTGTTCCACCGGTGACCTCCATGGGTGGCAGGGTGGGCGGCCCTATAACAGGTTACAGGGGTCTCTGCTCCAGCACACCTCCCCCATGTCCTTTTCCTTCCTTCCACTGCCCTGGGTGTTTGTCCTTCTCGGAACTCCTCCTCACAAGTCCCAACCTGCTCCCAGGTCCTCCTTCTTCAGTATGTTATTGCAGAGGCACAGCCACCGTCACTAATTGGCTCAGCCCTGGCCAGAGGTGGGGCTGACTTGGAGCTGGGGGAGTTTCGAGAAGCTTCTCACAGGGGCCACCACTGTAGCCCCCCAGCCCCTGCTACCAAAAAACTGCCCCTCAGAAACCCAGCACACCATGTTGGATTAGGAGACTCCTGCCAGACTGATACTGGCTGCGAAAGTGTCTTTTGCTCTGCACGTGCACGTTTTTTATCTCCTTGAGGAAAGAGATGTTTAATCAGCATGTATTACAGCTTCTGGATGTCTTTTTGTACAGGTGATGTGTGTCCAGATCAAATGTTTCCACGAGATTATCACTATTGGCTATAATGTGTACCACTCATATGACCTGCCCTGGTTCAGGACGCTCAGCTGGTGAGTACGGGGGCTGCTCCCCTCCCCAGGCTTGTGTGCAGCAGTAACGTCACCTCACTGCAGAGAGGCAGCAAGGGGATCATCTGCTGACCTCCAAAGCAGAGACCTTGGCATTGCTGTGTGTTGGCCAGTGCCATGTGTTAGCAGCTCTTGCAAAGGAAAAGCCCCCACAGATCTTGATAGAGGAGCCTTGAAGGAGCCTGAATCGATAAAGTTTGTCCCGTTGTTAGTGGAGCACAGAGATTTGAATCCCATGATCTGTGCAAGGGACGGCACTGACAGGCATCCCCACTTAGAGATGGACGTGGCTGCTTGGGTGGGACGGGAGCTTTTAGGTGGTTGTGAGACAGGGATGAACTTTGGGACATAGGGGCTGGGGAGAGGGCAGGAGCAGTGCTTTCAGAAAGCACAGAGCCCCTGCTTTTAGGATGCACAAGCTGGCAGAGGCCTGTCGAGGAGTGCCACCTAAAGGCAGAAAGTCTTTGTGCATCAAGAGGCCAAAACCCAACCCCAGCAGTGTGATCCACCACAAAGTGGTTTAAATGGAGGTGACATTGCTAAACTGGGGGAAATAAAGTTTTGGCTGTCTCTTGAAGAAAGCTTGTTTGCCGTGTACCAGAGCAATGTAAAGACCTTAGGGATCAGTCACTTTCTGTGTTTCTCCAGAAGCCTTTTAGGGTTCCTGCTAACGAGCATCTGCATCCTTCGCAGGTACTTCCTGCTCTGTGTAAACTACTTTTTCTACGGAGAGACTGTGACTGATTATTTCTTCACCTTGGTTCAGAGGGAGGAGCCCCTGCGGATTCTCAGCAAATACCACCGCTTCATTTCTTTCGCCCTATACTTAACAGGTAGCGACCACATTTTCTGTTGGCTGATCTTGTCTGGGCTGGAGGGAAGAAATCTCCTTGAACCACTCTTGTCCCGAGTGTTGTGTCCAATGCAGTATCCGCAGCAAGTGATCTCTGCTCTTCAGTGACACTGTCACTTGGCTGCACAGTTAGAATAGTGGTGGCAAATCTCTTATATGAGGCTCTGTTGGAGCAAACTCCATAATCTGCACGGGACAGCCAGGCTTGATTGTTCATCTGTCCAAGTGTTACTTGTAGGCAAGTTGGTATTTTGTGACTTCCAAAGTAGTGTGTCTTCCCACTCCACATTGCTGTTTTACTCAAGTAAAATCCTAAGGAGCTGTGCAATGTCATGGTAAAAAAGTACTGTTGAACATACATTTCCACCATTTATTTTTCTTCTGTCTCTTGTCAGGTTTCTGCATGTTTGTCTTGAGTCTGGTGAAGAAACACTATCGCCTTCAATTCTACATGGTAAGGTTAAATGCAGGGCCTGGCTGCTCCCACTTGGAGGCGGAAGAAGGAATAATGTAGGCTGCTTGAAAAATGTTGCGTACAGGACTATGTGTCAGTAGATGCTTCTGTGCTGGTTGTGCATTGTAATGCCTGGAAGAAAAGTTACTGTGAGCAGACTGTATTTTTAAGAAGCTGGCTCTGACCAAATTTCCCTGCAAACACGTATTCTCTTCTCTCTGCACTTGTAGATGCTAGTAAGAAACTTTCTGCAAACTGAGAGGGCTGCACAAGGCTACTTGACTCTTGTACTGAGGGTAGATTACCACCAGGGTTAATTGTCCCCCTTTCCCCAAATATCAGTAAGGCATCGCTCGTGTTTGTCAACACAGCTAGTTTTGCTTTCCAGTATATTCAGCACACAGGGATATGGCTTGGATATCTATTGGTCTTCTGCTCTTCCTATATAGTCAGAAGGCTGAGTGAGATGTATAGTATAGGGGTGGGCTAAAAAGCATGTGGTCCAGCAGAAGTCTTCCCAATGAAGGTCACCTCTGGGCTTGAGCTGAAGAACATGCCCATAGATTACTAGAGGTGACTGTTCCCTGCTCTTCATGACTCTTGGTGTTTGTTGTGGTGAAGGTGCATGCTAGAAATGCACATGTGGATGAGCCCTTCTCTGTCTGAGAGGTAGCTAACAGCATCTGATTCCTGCCAGTGATGCGTGTGGGCAGTGTCTCTAGGCAGGCTGGACTGCATGCTGTCTTCTCTTCCAGTTTGGATGGACCCATGTGACGTTGCTAATTGTTGTTACCCAGTCGCACCTCATCATTCACAACCTGTTTGAAGGAATGATATGGTGAGTTGCCATGTGTTCTGAGTTGCTTTGATTTCTGCAGCCTGAAATGAACATGTTTTGAGTTAAAACTTTTCTTTCATAAAAACAAATGGCCAAGCAGAAGGTGCTTCCTGTGAGGGACCAAACTGTTCAGAACAGAGAAGCAAAAGATTGAATGATACCTCAGTGACCTAGGACTTGCTTTCTGCTACTCGAGCAGTATAGAGGGTTGTTGTAAAGAAGCATCTGAAAATCACTGTGGGGTGCAGGGACCTTTCAGGCAGTGTCAGGCCTTTGTAAATGCTTTCTCTTTATACCCACATCTAGCAAATGGATGGGAAAGTGCTGCTCAGCACTTGATTTGGGGCATCATGTTAAAAGCAACACTGTGAAAGGAAGTAAATTGCAACCTGCCACGTTACTCCAGCTGCTGTGCAGCGGGGAAGCCCCTTTGGTGGTCTTCCCAAAACCAGCAGGGCCAGGAACTCATTTTGGCCACTTTAAGATTCCATGTTCCTCTGTGCATCGCAGCCAGCCCAGAGTGCTCCGGGAGCCGCCTGCTTACAGCTACAATGCAACCTCTCTGGGGGGAAAGGAGGCGTCTGTCGAACAGCTTGTCATGTGTGGCAAAAGAAAATGAGCTTAAAAGAGGCCATTCTGGGTACATGACCTTCTTTTTAGTCCAGAGCACTAGAGTAATCCCCCCCAGATTTCCCTAGGAGCTTCAAGTGGTTGCTCCTGCACTGGAGGGAGAGATGGTGATGTGACGGCACTGAAAAGCATCTTCTGAAGCAGTTGTTCATTTAGTCAAGTCCTGGACTCGTCTGATCTTGGCACTTTGCAATGGTTTGATTCTTTTCCCATCTAGGTTCATTGTCCCAATTTCCTGTGTGATCTGCAATGACATCATGGCATACATGTTTGGGTTCTTCTTTGGCCGCACACCACTCATCAAGGTTTGTAACACTTTGGTGGATCACACGTGCATTTTAGCTTCTCCGGGTCCTAGTCCTGGGTTCCCTCATCTCCAGCTTTCTGGTTCGTTCTGGGTCTGAAGCAAGCCTCTAAATTAAACTTGGTGCGTGTCCCAGTCTTTGAGGCTGTAAAGTTAAATGAACCATTTCAGACTGCGATGTTAGTGTCAGCTTCTGACCAAACTCTTATTTGTTGGTTGTTGGCACCAATTAGTAATTGTCTCAGCAATTCACAAGTGAGGAAGGGCTGCACAGGTGTGCAGCGGTGTGTGGAGATGTACAGTTTGTAACTACCTTCTCTCTCCCTCTGGCAGCTCTCCCCAAAGAAGACCTGGGAGGGTTTTATTGGAGGATTTTTTGCCACCGTTCTGTTTGGATTGCTGGTAAGTAGCAATCATGGTGCTTATTTTGTTGGTCTTTTCCCTTCATAGGATGGCAGTGTTTTGTCTAAAAAATGCTGTCAAGCTTTAAGCTCTCCCTGCTCTTGTCAGAGACTTCACATTTTCCTTACCAACGAGGATTGAACTGGTCCATGGCCATGTTTTGTGCTGTGTGCAGGTACTGCAGATGGAGCAGAATACTGGAGGAAGTTTTTAGTCCCTGTTTAGACCCTGTGACATGTTCATTATGATAATTATTCTTGACATCTTCTGTCTGCTGCTGTTGGATGAGTGCTGTGTGTCATTTCAAGGGCTGTGTGGGGAATTCAGTGCTCCTGGAATATTCTTATCTGGTTTTGTGATGATCTCTGTGTCTGCTTGTTTCTGTCCTCTCAACCAAGCGGTGCAGCCTGTCTCAGCCTGTTCATACAGGGATTTGATCACTGCTTGCTGAACAGATGCACTTACTGAACGAAAATGCTTACACTGCCTTTAGCCAATTACTGCTTCTCAAGAGAGCCATCTTCTTAATGAAGCTGGGAGTGTGGCTCCCTCCTCGCCTTGTCTCCTTGAGTGGCCATATCCCTTGAGAACAGCTCTGCCCCATTGCTCAGGAAAATATTAATCCTGGTTTCTCTTGCTGTGTCTCTTTTTTTCTCTCTTCTTGAAGCTGTCCTACGTGATGTCTGGCTATCGGTGCTTCACCTGTCCGGTGGAGTTCAACAATGACACCAACAGCTTCACGGTGGACTGTGAGCCGTCTGAGCTGTTCCAGCTACAGGAATACAACATCCCCTTGGTGCTGCAGTCCGTGGTGGGCTGGGTAGGACTTTCTCTGTTTTCTGGATCTTATTTATTGGGATAGGAACACTAAGAAAGGAGATCAGGGCTTTATTTTGATGGAACATGACAAGGGATGATGGTACATACAGAAATAGGGGGAATTTATTGGTGCTCCGTGTTGGTTGAAGGCCCAAAGGAATTGTTGCAAGTCTGGTGGGACATTAACCCACTTGAAAACCAGCTGACCTAAGGCCCGGAGAACAGAGAAGGAGGGACAAGCAGTGGACAGTGCTATTCTTGTTGAAAATCCTTCTGTGACATGTTTTTCTTTCTGCAGAAGACAGTCCGGATGTACCCCTTCCAAATCCACAGCATCGCCCTGTCTACTTTTGCTTCCCTCATTGGGCCATTCGGAGGCTTCTTTGCCAGTGGATTTAAGAGGGCCTTCAAAATCAAGGTGAGTATGGTGAAGGTCATTTACATTTTAGAAAGGAAAGACTTCATGGTTGCTACCACTCTGTTATGGTTTAACCCCGGTCTGCAGCTCAGCCCCACCCAGCTGCTCCCTCACTCCCCACCAGTGGAGAGAATTAGAAGATTAAAAATCAGAAAGCTCATGGGTTTGGATAAAGGCATTTTACTAGGTAAAGCAAAAGCCGCACACAAGCAAAGCAAAACAAGGGATTCGTTCCCCACTCCCCGTGGGCAGGCAGGTGCTCAGCCATCCCCAGGACAGCCGGGCTCCCTCACGCGTAATGGTCACTTGGGCAGACAAACGCCATCACTCCGAACGGCCCCCCCTTCCTCCTCCTTCCCCCAGCTCTGTGTGCCGAGCATGACATCACGTGGTATGGAATATCCCATATATGCAGATACGGCCCGTTGGGATGGGCTGTCCCAGCTGCATCCCCTCCCAACTCCTTGTGCACCCCCAGCCACTCGCCGGGGCGGGGAGAGAGGCCGGAGAGGCCTTGGCTCCGTGTAAGCGCTGCTCAGCAGCAACTCCAGCATCTCTGCGTTACCAGCGCTGTTTTCAGCACAAATCCAACACTAAGCCCCATACTAGCCACTGTGAAGAAAATGAACTATCCCAGCTGAAACCAGTACCCACTCTAAACCATCCCTGTGCTCCAAGGAGTGGTGGGCTGGGTACTTTGGGAAGGGAGGGGAGGTTTGTTTGGTCACAGATGAAATGCTGGAGTGGTTTTTACTCTAGGTTTTTTGATCTGAATGGGGAGAGACCTTAAAATTTCGACTGTGATATTTTAAACCCCACTTTGGTGCAGAACTTGACGTAGAGGAAGAAAGACCCAGTCAGGAAATTTTGCAATCTGAGGCTTCCCTTGATATCTCGCAGGCTGGTTTTACGTATAAACAGTTGGTGTTCAGTTAAGATGCCTTGAAAGGCAGGACAGGGTTGCAAGAGATAAACATGAGCCTTCCTTGACCTTTGAGTGACAGATCTGAGTTAAGCCTTGATGTCCCTCAGGCACTGGTAGTCTTCATGAAGGAGAAGCTTTTAAAACCAGGGAGGGATTAAATAAAATGTCTTCTTAGTCTGACTTTTGCCTTCTGGGAAGAATTAGAGCAAGAGTTTGAGTGTCGTGCATAGAGGTACATGAGGAAGTACAGCTAACGGGCATTAGAAACTGCTAATTGCAAACCCTTCTGCTTTGCACAGGACTTTGCCAACACAATTCCAGGGCACGGAGGCATCATGGACCGCTTTGACTGTCAGTACCTGATGGCTACTTTTGTTAACGTGTACATCGCAAGCTTTATCAGGTATTTATTGCTTTGTGGTGAAGTCTGGGGGCCCTGTCAAGCTTAGGTGACATACAGGCTTGTAGTAAGAGACAATTGTTAGATTAACATCTAAAAATAAAAGACAGAGAGCAAACAGAGGCTTGAAGAAGGGAAATATTTTTTAGCAGGGTCATGCAGAGCTGCAAACACAACCCTCATTTCTTAAGATCTGTTATTCCAGTCCCTCTGAAACTCCTCCATGTCCCTTCTGCACCCCTGTGAGTCTTGAGTAGGGTTTGCAGAGTTGAACAAGCAGAAAAATCTAATTTTGTAGCATTAACAAGTATTCTGTAGCCAAGCATAGAAGCAAGCCTGTAGGTGCATAAAAGATGTACTGAAGGAGTTAAGGAACTGTCTTCGTGTGGCTGCTTTGAGTTTTGAGGGGGAGCATCTGCTAATAAGGGAAGATGCATAACCCTCTTGAAATAGCTTAGGTTTGTTGGTTTTTTTGTTTTGTTTATAGTTCAGCAACCTATGCCTTTTGAATCCATTTCCACATCTCAAATGGAGTTAAGCTCCCTGGGTAGAACTGGTGAAGGGATGGGTAACATGGCTATTACTTTAAGCCTGTTATTTTAATGAAATTGCATTTGGGTTCCCAGATCATTGAGGTTTAGCAATGTGACTCATTGATAATGATGCTTTTGTGTTTCAGAGGTCCTAACCCAAGCAAACTGATCCAGCAGTTCTTAACCTTGCGGCCAGACCAGCAGCTCCACATCTTCAACACACTAAAAGCACACCTTGTTGACAAGGGTATGTTAGGTAGTTTAGAGGACGCATAGACAGCCGGGCAATTGGAACAGGACTGAAAACAGACAAGCCTCCTCGAGGAAATTCCTGGCTTGCCTGATTTAAGACAATAACAAGGCCTCATTTCACTGTAACTTTTCTTCCTTTCTTGGTAAATGTTTGCATTTGTGGATTTTTTTTAAATAATATATTTATATAGCTTTGGTTCAAATGAGCAAATCTTGGGTTTGTAGCTGAAAAGGAGTTGAGGCTTGGAAGGACTGTTGGGTGAAGTAGGAGGGTATGACTACTGTCCTCGTGGCCTGTTCTTAACCTTCGATGCATGTGGGCAGAGCTGAACTTTTCCTGTGAGTGTGTTTATGCAGGGAATATGCAAAGCGTTGTCCGTACCCCCGCCTCTGCGCGTGGAGCCAGCAGGGAAGGGGAGGCCGTGCAGCTCCCCTGGCCGTTGGGCGAGGCTGCGTTCATGATGGCAACTCTGGGGACCCTCATTTTCTCCGGTGGTAACTGTGAATGCAATGTTAATATTCCCAGACAGCCACCTTTATCCCTGTGTGCAGTCTCCTTGCAGACTGCACGGTGAGCACAAGACTCTGTTAATTGGAAGAGGATCTTGTACTAATCCAGGGACACTTCCTTTGCCCAGCCAGGCACATGCATCTATTTTCACTTGCTGTTTTTTGCAGTGCCTCTCACATTCCCCCCTTATGGCTGATATTTTGTCAAATAAGATTTTTATATCCAATTAAACCAGAAATAGACTGGGAACGAGGAGTCAAGAAACTGGTAGTTGCTTGCGGGAATGTGGGAGGTTCAAACTGCTTCAAAACTGAATCAAGTAAATAGGTTTTAAAGAACATTGAAGTTTCATTGAGTAATTCCTGCCAAGTAAGAACAACCCTTCAAATAACTTGGTTCATTTTCCCCCCATCAAATAACCTTTAAGAAACACTGAACCACACTTTCTCATTTCTTGATGGTTGGAAACCCTGCACTGGGATATTTTGATTAATTTGGAGAGCAGTTTCCAACTTGTTTTCTTTTTTTTCTGAAGTTTGCTGGTTGGGGCTCCAGCACCCCACTGGTGCTGCCAGCTGGGTATTTTGTTTTTCTTTCAGGGATCATGTCTATCACCTGTGTGTTACTTGATGTCATGCTGCTGAGTTTATCATGGTCTGTGTTGCATTTCAGTCTGGGTTCATTTACCTGCAGGCTTCTGTCCTGCTTTGCTTACTAAATCTTGTCATAAAGAGTTTGTACTTAACAGTTGCAAGTTTTATCTAAGTACTTCCCTTTATTTTGTCTTACTTTTTTATTATTTAAAAATGAGAGCCCTAAAGACTGTAAAACTTTTTTTTTCTGTGATCAGAGAGTGAAAATATCCCCGGTTTACACCTTATACAATGTTCCCAAACACAAAGTGACTCTGATTTTACTTCTTTCCATAGTTTGTGCCTGGGAGAGAGAAACTTTACCTTATTTTAACCTGGGGAACGAGTGACAGGGAAAGATAATACAGAAGTACATCGCTGTTTTCAAACAATTGCTGATATAAATGTTATATACAGACACCCCTCACATGGAGACATGTACACGCTGCAAGCTGGCTAAGCATCAACAGAAAATAAAACACCTGAAAATACTTTGTAGCTCATACTCCATATTCTGATTCTGCCATTGCTTTCATTTACCCCGAGTGAGCGAGAGAGCAAATGCCTGTATAGCGACATTAACAGATACCAACCTCTCTGTAGGACTCTGCGTGGTAAGCTCTGCTTCATCTCCCTAAACAGGAACCACAGGGCAGAAGTTTGTGCCCGTTGTACTGCAAATACAGGTATTTGATTGAAAGCACAGATAGCAGAGAAGAAGGGTCCGTTTCCACAAAGTATTTTCAGCACGGTGCTGGCAAAATTGCCAGCTTTTGGCAGGAGTCAGGACTGCTGCGATGGAGCCAGTTCAGGTTTGCATATGGTTAATGCCAGTGGTGGACGTGGAGGCTTTCCTGGACTAGCTGTGGAGACTTTTCTTCCAGCTTGAATTAGGCAGGGATTTATTTTCTGTCAATTTAGGGGCTTGGACCAATATCCTCTAATTGGAAAACTGGATGGAAGTATTAAGGTGCTTCCATCTTGTTTTTTCCTGGGAGAATATCTGGTCTGTGCTTCGTGACAATTTGGTTGAGTTTAGCTAGGCAAAGTGAGGGCACCTGCAAGGAGTACCTGGGCGAAGTGACAGGGTTTTGTGTAGTCTCTGAAAAGCAGTTTGCCCTGTGGGGTCAGACAAGCTGGTGCTTTTCTGGATTCTCCCTGCCCGTTGCCAACATCTGCCAAAATCCCTCGTAGTGCACTGTTCGGTCCTAAATGAGCCATCAGAAGAAGCTATAGTATTGATAAATATTACAAAAATATACTGCTCTTTATATTAAGAAATTTTTCATAGGGGTCTTTAGTCTCCTGCTCGTCTTGCTTTAAACCTTTTGTACCTCTTTAGTTGTAATTAGTGGGGCAAAAACCGAACGCAAAGCTTTCCTGCATGCTTTCAATTTGAAGTAGCGTATTTGGGCCTTTCTGAAGGGTGCAGTGCTGGACGTGCACACTGGAGGGCAAAGCAGTTGCATTTAGTGGCTTCCAAAGGCTGGGAGAGAAGCAGCAGCAGTAACACATGTGGGTGGTTTCCTGAGGAGCCTGCAGCTGGGTTCTTGCTTCCTTCCCAGCAGCGCAGTGGAAGGGTGGACGTCCAGCCTGTTTTGATCCTGAGGGGTAAAGCTACGTGGGAAGGGTTTAGCATCCTGCACTGAGTTTTAGTAAACTGAATGGGAACAGTGCATCCAGTTGAGTAATGGAGGAGGAAGGGAGGGAGATGGGGGTGGTTAAGATTTATTTGCAAGCTGAACTGCCTGCAAAATAGTGGTGAGCGTCGTACCATGTCCTGGGCTGGGCTGAGAGCTGTGGCTGGCAAACCCACTTGTACACCACTGGTGTGAATATATGTGATAGTACTACTCAGCTCTTAGCAACAGCATGCTCTCCGGGGGAGCGTTTGGTGGGTTTTCCCCATCAGCCCGGCCTGCGAGTAGCTTTTGTTTGCTGTAGATATTTCAAGTTAGACTTAGAAAGTTAGAGGAAATAACTGATGTGCTGGCTTTGGCTGTCCCTAAAGGAGTTAACTGTGATGCCAAGGGGCATGTAGCAAGACACGCTGCACATCTTTGCATTGCATTCAGGACCTTGGTCATGCTGCAGCACTTACAAGAATTGAGGTTTGGAGGGAGGCTGGTGTAGCTAGTGCTAGGGACACCAGGGGTGGCCAGGTAAGGTGATGTGTGGATGCTCACGTGAAGTTTCTCCAGCTGCAAGGCTCGAGCTTGGCATTGCACAGTAGTTTTTGTTCGCAGTGGGCTCCACGGCAGGAGAAATTCCTCCTGCTTCTGCCCAGCAAGAGGGAAATAACAGAGCAGACCAGCAAGGGGGGAGGTACTGTATCAGCTGGTGTGTGTGCTTGGATCAGAAGGAAGAAAAAGGCAGGATTTGGCCTAAGTGAAGCTTGCGAGGGTAGTACTGCGGCAGGGGACAGGCTGGTGTGGAAACTACCGCTGCATTTCCAGTTGGAGTGGACAGAGGGACGCGAGCGTATTTAATAAGCAGAGGGGCAGCAGGTGGCTAGAAAGCTGCTTTTGCACCGTGTGAGCAGCTGGCTGTCCTCGAGAGGTGGCTGAACATCCACGGTGTTTGTTTGCTGGTGGGTGATTCAGCGATATGGGCTGGACACTGGTCTGATCCACAGTCTGAGCAGCGTGGCTGGGCCAGGTCTGGGTAGACGAGCGCTTGGCACGCCCTGGTAGGAATTTGCTTCTCCAAGACTGGTTGTAGCCCAAATTGGTTTGCAGATCAGATGCACGGCCAGATCATGCCCTGCAGTGCTCAGCCAAACGTCAAACCCGAGTTTCTGCATACGGTGGCATGTCCTGTGCTGATCAGCAGGTGTTATTTAGATATTCTTTGGGGTGATGGGCTCAGAAGTCTGCTGACACTGATCTGAAGGGGCCTGGGGTTTACGGTACCCTGTGCAGCTCCTGAAGCTGGAAATCCCATAGCATCAGCTACTGCTTGGTACCAGGCTGTGAAATGCCAGTGGCTTCGATTCCAAGGTATGTCTCCTGTTTCCGATGTGTGCAGCAAGGTCCCCCGAGCCTGGCTGCGGTGGGATCCTGGCAGGTCTTCCAGACCCTCCTGGGGGCAGGCGTTTGGCACAAAAAGCAGCGTGTGAAAGCTCCTGTGGTTCCTGCCCTCTGTAACCAGCCCCAGAGTTGCATTTTGTACTACTGTAATCTTTGTGTGCTCCTGTTCTCCAGACCTGATGTGTTTCTACCATCCGCTTATTTCTCTGTGCATTGTTCTTTTGATTAATGTTTTAGCTACACATGTAGAGTTGCCTTTCTTTGACCGAATGTCCGAATGTGATATATTGTATATTTTAAAGTATTTACCCTATTTATATACTGTATGTTACTGTTAAATAAATATAAGTTCCATTATCTGTAGTGGACTTTTATTCAGCGCTGTCAGCAAGTGGGGGAGATGCCGAAAACCTCCTTTCCATGCTCTGTAAAGCAGATCAGTCTGTTTTAAACTCACATTCCCCCATTCCTTGCCCTGTGCCTCTCCTTCCTCGGGGATCTTCCGAAGAGCAGCCCTGGCTGCAGATGGGCTCAGCACACAGGCAGGATGGCCCCATCTGTCCCCTGCACAAAAGTGGCAGCGTTTCCAGGGTGGTTTGTGGTGGAAACTGCGATCAGCTCACACAGGCTGATCTTGATCAGAGATTAGTATTGGCACTGCTGCCCCTGCATATCCACTCATTTCACCCTGAAGATTTAATTGGCAATGTGAAAAATTGTTGGAGTTCCACTTAGCAAAAATTATTGCTTCATTTCAGCCATTTCTTCTGACTTGTGTAGGGTTAGGAGAGCAGAATCCTTCTGTTTACCCAGCAAAACATGCTATTTTTAGCTCCTGTGTTATTTTGACTGTTTAAACTTATCAGCGAAGCCAAACCAACCCATCAGCAGCTCTCTTTTTGCTTCCTGTCACACTGTGTGGGCATTTTCAGACCAATTAATCCTCCAAGAACAAAATATGATGCGGTCTCTCTATAGCAACCTTGCGAAATTACTCTAAAACCCCAAATCTCATGTGGCAACACATCACCCTCAGACGAGTCGGCCAGTTAAGCAGCAGATGGCTGAGCAGCACCGTGCAATATTCAGCAGTCCTGTGAAGCAATGAGATGCCGTTACTGAGAGGCCTTGAAATATCCCTTAGTGTTAATTCTTTTGGAAAAGGGACTGTGGACTCTGGGCAGGCTGTTGAGCCGGCTGACAGCGGGGCAGGGTGCGTGCCCGTGCCTTGCAGTGAGTCAGACACATCATCTGACAGCCCCTGCGACCAGCATAGCTGCACTGCTGCTTGCATTTCAGCTAAAGATTTCCCCCTTGTTTCTCCCCATCCGGCATCAATTTAATTAAATCAAACAAAACCTGCAGATTCCCAGTGGCAATCCTGGTGCTAGCTGTGCTCCATCCCCAGAAAGCCTCAAACCAAGGCTGCCTCAGTGCGAGCAGGTCTCGTGCAATCCCATCCAGACACATTTTCCATGAGATCCTGATAGAAGAGGGATGTAAAAACAAAACGAACAACCTTATGGGCTGAGATTTGTCCTTTTTAAGTTCCCCTAGGGCATTCGGTTCAGGAATGGGCTGTCCAGCTTTATTGCTAAGAAAAAAAAAAAAAACAAAACAACCTTGTGATGTCCTTTCACAAAAGTGGAGGCAGCCGCCAGGTACCGGATGGGGACAAGCAGGAGGCTGCCAAAACAGCTCTCTGGGCACTTGGGCTGTTTTGGGGTGCCAGAGAGGGCTGAGCTGCTGTGGTGTAGCCACACAGCGTTGGGCTGAATTGCACGATTTGAGGCTAAAACACTCGCTGTTTCCTTTTTAGAGGAGTGGAAAGTGCCATGTGACATCCTGTTCACACAGGCAGGTGGGGAAAGGCGGCTGCTCACAAGCTGCTGCCAGGCTTCCGTGAAAAAAAAATCAAGTTGAAGAGGAAAAAAAAGGATCAAAATGCATGACCCCCTAGAGCTCCTATAGCTTTCTGCAGATACTATTAAGAAGAGGAAAAAAAATATGTTTAATTCAGGGCTCGTTCAGGGTCGCCTGCTTGGGGTACAGCAAAAATTGAGTTAATTCAGGCAGTTTGGGTCCAAAGCAGGATATTGGGGTTAATCCAGTTCAGGCGTGGGTCTGTGCTGGGCTGCTCTGTTGCGATAGCCCTGCTTTGCACGCCCTCATCTTCTCTGGCCTTTTGGCAGTGGCATATGTGAGCTGGGGATCTCTGAGCTGGCTCCAGCCACTGCTCAAAGCAACTGATTCATTTTTCAACTGTGCTTAACCCAAATTAATCCACCAGGCTCCACCCTGGCTGTGTTGTGACCAGGCAGCCAGCATAGGTTCCAGCTCCTGCCCCGACAGGCGCATCCTCAATTTACGCTATGGCACTTAGAAAAAAAAAAAAAAAAAAAAAATCCCTTTGCAAGCGCCTTGGTGCATCCCGGGTGTGACGGCTGGGCTGCAAATCAGAATGGGAACTGGTGGCCATGTCCTCTTTCAGCCCCCTGCTCTCCCCACGTCACTGTTTCTGCTTCTGTTCAGAGCAACTTCCCTCTCTGGAAGGCCTGGGCTTTCCCAGTATGGGGGGAGAATGGGGCTGGAGCCCTCCGTTAAGCCTTCAGGGCTCACTGCCGTGTCTTGCAGCTGCCCTCGCTGCTTTTTGCTCCATTTAGGTGTTTGTGAATGAAACAACCCTTCCTTGCATTTATCTTGTGTCTCACGAGCTGCAATCTCTAACTGCATTGCAGCCTGCTTTGTGGCTGTGCTGTTTCTTTTGAGGAAAACCAGCATGAAGTGACACAAAACAGGACACACTCACTGTTGGGAGCAGGGAAAGGGGCTTTTCTTGAGCCAGTGGTCCTGGTGAGGTCTGTGCCCACGTTCCCTGTCCCTTGCTGCTCTGATACCCACAGCCCTGCCTTCGAGAGCAGCCTCATTCCATCCCCATTTTGCTCACACCGCTGTTAGAAAGTGGGTGTAAAAACCTTAGACCAGCTGTGGGGACTGTTCAGCAGTCGCAATAAGAAAATGCAAAAGACACCCATGTCATCCAGGCGGTGCAAGGGGTGATGCATTAGGACATTCAGAGAGGCGATCCTGCGGCATTTGGCCACGGCCACCTGAGCCACAGCCTCCTCTGCTTTGAGCAAAACATTTCCCGAAACTCCGTGCTGGGCCGTGTCCTTCAGTGAGCAATTTTCTAGCGTACCAACGACACCGAGAAGGACACCCACTTCCTCAAATGCAACGAGCAGCGTGCACAGAGCAACCCCGGGCAGCCGCATTCTGGTGCAGGCTGGGGCCAGGCTGCTGCATCTACGCATCAGCCAAAGCGGGTAGCAAAAAGGGGAGCAAAAAAGGCTGCATCACCTTGGTGTCATCAGGGAAGCAAGACGAGAGCTTTGCAGGAAAGCAGGGCAGGAAAGTACTTTTATGGGGTTGTTCACAGCCGCTCTCAGAGGAGGGAGGAGGAAGTACGTTGGCAAATCAACCCTTGCTGAGCTGTCACTCTTCGTGGGGGGGATCGCACCCCGGGCGCAGGATCCCCACGGGACTATCAGAGCTTTGTTTCAGGCCGTATCCTAAGCAAGCCCCCCCTTGAAAAAAACAAAGCCCTTCCTGATCCAAAATGTCCCTCAAGCTGCCACGGAACTGGGATTTCAACCTGAAAATGGATGCTGCAAAAATAGGTACCGTGACTGTTTCTTTATGCCCTTCTGTTTCTGCTTCAGCCTTTGAGGTGCGAGTTGGGGTCTGCCGGGGTGCCTGTGGCCAAGCCCAGCAGCAATTTTGGCTACAGCCCAGATCCAAACCCACTTCTGGCCTTGGTGGCGGGGGGGGGGGTGTGGGGGGGGGCTGGCCCCCAGCTACCACTTTGGAGACAGCAGATGGTTTGCAAACGATTTGCAAGAAGTGATTTGCCAAGTTGTCACTGAGGGATGCTGTGGGAGCACGGCCAGGGCTGTGGCTCGGGGGCTGGAGCAGCGGCTGTCTCGGTAGGGTGGGGAACGGGGGGACCTGGCAGAATCCAGGTTTGGGGGGGGCGGATTTAACCCACGTGGGCTCATTCTGCTGGCCCAAGCCTTGCAGGAGGTGAAGCGCAGGCCAGGAGGCGGACGGAGCGGTGCAGGCTGGAGGAAGCAATCTCGCCCTTGCTCAGGTTTCTTTGCCCACCCCGACGTCACTGGTTTCCTCTCACTGGTGGTGAGGAGCCCTCTGATGCCCATGCGGGATGGCTTCACTGTGTGATTTGCTGACTTATCTCCTGCCTCTGCCCAGGCTTTGCATGGCTCTCCTCCACCGTAGGATCCACCTCCAGCATAAAAACCACTTGAGAATGCCTTTGGGAAGGAGTGGGGGATCCCTATGGTGGGCTCTGTGGCTCTGTGGCCAAAATATCATGGCAGAGCCAAGGCCTGCTTTTGGGTCAAGCAACCAGGGAGGGGATTTGGGGGTGAGGATGCTGCGGTTGAGGAGGGGGTGCACGAGCCCAGCCTTGTGCACGCACTGAGGCAAAGGCCTGCCGTGGTCCTGGCACTGGTGCCAAAACCTGGCCAAAGGCACACACCGGCAACTTGATTTCTCCCTGCAGCAGAGAGATTTGACCAAGCTGGCCTCTGAGGTGCTGAGCTCTTTCTCCCTGCACCTTGCAATTGGCTTTGCAAGGTCATCCTGGTTGGATTTTCTTGCACAAGCTATTTGGCTTTCGCTCTGAAGCTGCTTTCATTGGGGCGGCCAAACCATTTGCTTCCCAAATGAAGCACTGCTGCTCCCCGCCAGGGAGCTGGGCTCGGTGGTGCTCAGCGATGAGCAGGATGAGACCCTGGGTGGTCCAGAGCTTGCAGGCGGACGGAGGAAGCAGTGCCATCTCTTGCACTCATCAGCTTGCAGGGCAGCAGTGGAAAAATCCCCACATAGTTATCACAGAAGCATCCTGGATTTCTGCATTGCCCAGTTTTAGGGTAAGTAACGTTTTTTTGCACCGAGGCTGCGGAGCAGTGGGTAAAGTCAACCGGTAGCTCAGAAAATAAGGCCAGGGCACAGTGAGCCTGCTGGCTGCTGGGAAGCAGAAGGGGTAGAAATGGGACACAGGCTTGAACCTGTGTTGTTGCCAGGAATTGCTTTTTTCCAAGAAAATCTGCTTGTGATGAAATTCTGGGTGCTTTTTGCAGCTTGCAGCTGCTGCGAGCCCGTGAGATGAGGTTGTGTGTGTGCGTGCAGAGACGGGCACAGCTCGGTGCATCGACTCTTCGCAAGCTTTGGGGTTTCTGGCTGCAGGGACCAGCCGCTGCCATCTTCAGGGGTGCAGCAGGGATGTGACTCCCTTGTGGAAAATATTTGCAAATTAGTCACCACCGCTCTTGCTG